AAATCTTCAATTTGAAGAATTTTTATTTTCTTACTTATTTAAGTATTAAATTTAATCCTGTTGTATTTGTTGTTTGTTAAATCGTTTATTTGTTTCTATTTACGAGTTTGAAGGTTGAAAATTCATTTCAACACAAGCAATTCAATTGTTTATAATAAATATGTAAATATTTCATGTTTCACATTTAAATGATGTTCAAATAATTAATTTTGTTAATTAACTATTGGGCAGTATAGATAGCAATAAAATGTATTATATTTATAACTTTTCTCTAATTTTTAATTATAAACTATTCATATCACTCACATATGTAACATGTATAAAAAGAGAATCATGTGGTTTATAATATGACACAATGAAGTACATAATCTATGCAACGTCTTCCATTGATTCGTGACTCACTACCGCTACAATTATATCCCTAACAGTAGCAGTTAGCAGTACGTACATATTGCAAACAGATTCCCTACATGTAGGGAATCATCACATCATATCAGAGTATCAGAGCTCTGATCATATGAATCTACATACTATTAGATATATGTACGTATTATATGTATGGCATTCTACATATACCCACAGTCAACGAGAGCAATGGAGAATACGCTTCACAGTCTGTAATATAAACTTTCTGGGCTCTGAATCTTCGACAAGGCAATTTCCTCTCTGGTTTCTGATATGCCTACACACTGTATATTTTGTGCGTAGGTGCTTAGATTATACATATACATATATGTACTCGTAGATACGTAGAGCATGTGTATAGTTGCATGCACAGGAAAACCAAGAGTTCAGTGATGCAAAGATAATACACGAAAGATAATTCACTGTGACGTGCAACATAATCATTTAAAATAACTAACATGGCATCAGGCTTTAAGTTCAAACCGTAGATGCTATTGGATACTATCTACTCATATTCACTATCAATCATCATATTGTGTGAACTTGATTTTGAACAATTTTTAAAACAATGGTGCTTGCGTGTTTCAAAGGCTGCAAAATGAATGAAAACAATGGTCAGAACTTTTCACCAGTATTCCATTACTCTTAATCATTAACTGAATATAATATTTCACATTTGATTAATTAAATTTACTTTATAAAAATTAAACATTTTTGCATGTTCATTAATACTGAATATTAAACCAGTTCAACACGTTTGGAACATCGGTGTGACATTCTTTCGTATTTGCAGATACATATACCGTACTAGCATAATTTATACATCGAGTTCACTGTGACGTCATGTAGATGATTCGTCTTAGCTTCAGGCAAACTATTCAATGCCGTGTCTAAGTCAGGGGCCGTCAACTTTATAGGAAGCACTTTTTTGACTGCCATCTGAGCTAGCTGCAGACTTGGACGAACTAAAATTCAGTATGGCTGCCCACCTGCATGTGCATTTAGTGTTTGGTGGACAGGTGCCTTACAAACTGAAGGTCGAGCCTCTCGTTCTTCGCAGGATTTCTTTCGCACGAATTCCAAACAACTTCTACATGTCGGTCTAATCTAGCCTAGAAAGGGAAACTGACAGCTTGGTCCTACTTAAATTTCATGATGTGTGAAAGAGAGCAAATGAAACTAATTGCAAGACAAAGTAATGAACGAGGAAAGAGCAGTTATTTAAGACATTTTCAATGAAATAGATGGCAATCGTTGATTCGGCGTTAATCTATAGCTGTTATGAACATTATTTTGGAAGCAATTAAAACTAAAATAGGAACGATAAGGAACAATTAAAAAACAATTGTTTACGATATTCTACAATGAGACATCACAATTTCTACTTATCGGATTGCAATGACGGACTTATACCTTCGCCTAACTTTGCGAATATCGTTAGTCGATTTCAGGGAGTCGAGACCATGTGATGATTTTATGATACTTTCTCGAAAAGTAGAAGTAAGAAATTGAAAGTAATTATAGAACAATAATCTTCAAAAAAAAAGCAATTCTTTGGTAGGTCATACATCACGTTTCATGCATTATTTCAGAATTTTCATATTTTTAAAAATTCCCAGCCTCTTAAAAGTCACTAGATATTTCTTAAAAAGAATAAGTGAGCGATTAAAATTAATTGATAAGCAATTATAGGCAATTAAAAAACAATTTTTTGAACTATATTTCATTAATATTAGTTTATATGGTGGTTTATATATAAATATTAGTTTATATGGTTTATATTAGCTAGCTTCACACGGGTTGAGCAACCCTGATTTCTAGACTCGTACATAGAACTCCAGTCATCTCTGGTCACACATGCATAACTCGATAATGTGCGGGAAATTAGAATTTGTTTAGTATGTAAAGTATTTATTATGTGTCATAACATAATAAAAATATGCAATATAATGAACAACATTATAATTATTATATATATTGCAGTATACGTCATTGATTTCAAATAAATTTAACGCAAATTATAAATTATACATTATTTGTATTTCCTTTTCTTAATATTAAATACTTATGTTAATTTTTAACAATTACAAGACCTATTGAAAATAGTACACAATTATACAAGAAACATTGCATGTATATATCAACAGTTAAAAATACAGACTGTTATTAATATGGTAATACAATTGTACAATCGCATACATATATACAGTCAAGCCCGCCTACGCTACTAATTGTACATATATACATACATACATACATGGATCCGACTTATTTTAAATCACTTTCACCTTAAATACAACTTTACGATTAAACACATTATTTTTTGATTTTGTGTAATAAGAAATAATTTTGAAATTAGAAAGTTGTAGTAATTAATTGTTTTAATTATCTACAATAAGCCGCCTTAAGTAATCTTAGAGAATTAACATGGTACCGAGGTTATGTATTTCTTTTGTAAAGTATAATATATGGATGTTGATTACAGGAACCAATCAAAACGATCCACGAAAAGTGATATCTACGTGGTTATAAAGAGTGGGGTACTGAATACGCTAGGAGGAGGACGTATTCGTTGTTCGTTTCAATTCTATATTGAATCAAAGATTGTGCAGTGAATGATTTCTTGAAGATAATTGTAAATTATAAATTTTGTAATAGTTTGTGAAGGAAAATGCAAGCTCTTTTAGGTGAGTTTCGTAAAATAATATTTGCTAACCGGCTCACAACCTTCTTTTATTACTTCAACCGGCATATCTATACTATTAAGATATTTCTTTACATCACGTTAGATATACATTTTGATTAATATATTGAGATTAAAATATTCTTCTTGATCATATTTATATACATTTCATTATTTCTAATTTCCGTTTCATATAGGTATCTTGATATTAATCACTGGAGCCCATTGTTTGTACAATTCCAATTCAGATGTTATAAAACTTGATTCAAGCAATTTCGACAGTTTAGTACTGAATAGTGATAATATTTGGGTAGTCGAGTTTTATGCACCATGGTGTGGACATTGTCAACAATTAACACCTGAATATAATAAGGCTGCTAATGCATTGAAGGTAATTTAAACACTTTTTCTACCATATTGTCATTTCATATTTTGTTCTTAAATGAGTTTCTTATTGGGATTATAAATTTTGATTAGGGTATCGTAAAATTTGGAGCAGTAAATGCAGATGAACATATGAATGTTGGGTCAAAATATGGAATTAAAGGTATTCCGACAATCAAGATATTTGGTATCAATGATAAGCCAGAAGATTACGTTGGACCTAGAACATCGGATGGAATCCTGGATGCTGCTTTAAATGCAATTAATCAAAGGGTTAGCGCTTTTCGTCGTAAAAAAGGCAAAGATGATTCTAAGGTAAATATAACAATGTATAATATATAATGACAATAAATAGAAAGTATATGAATTGTATAACATTGGTTTATTTTCATCATAGTGGAAAGATTCCAAGGATGTGATTGAATTAACAGATGAAAACTTTGATGACATAGTAATGAATTCTGAAGATATGTGGTTAGTTGAGTTTTATGCACCTTGGTGTGGTCATTGTAAAAATTTGGCTCCCATTTGGGAATCCGCTGCTACAGAACTTAAAGGAAAAGTGAAATTAGGTGCCATTGATGCTACTGTAAACAAACTAAAAGTAAGTTTATCTTTTTAACATTAACTACATTCAAAATTAAATTATATTTATTTTTCAATACATTCAATTTGATCTACCATTATTATAGGCCATTCAATATGAAATTAAAGGATATCCTACAATTAAATATTTTGCACCTGGTAAAAAATCTTTTGATTCTGTACAAGAATATGATGGTGGTCGAACAAGTTTCGATATTGTAAGTTGGGCAACAGAAAAATTGGCAGAAAATGTACCAGCTCCAGAAGTAACTCAAATTATAAATAAAGAAGCATTGGAAAATGCTTGTGAAGACAAACCATTATGCGTTGTATCAGTTTTACCACATATCTTAGATTGTCAGTCAGAATGTAGAAATAACTATTTGAAAATATTGAATGAATTAGGAGAGAAATATAAGCAAAAAATGTGGGGGTATGTAGAAATAATGCTACTCTGTATGCAGAAGTGAATCTATGTTTTAGAAAATTTTAAGATCTTTTTTGTCTCTTCTTCTTTTAATAGATGGGTGTGGGCAGAAGCTAGTGCTCAACCTCACATTGAAGAAGCATTAGAAATAGGAGGTTTTGGTTATCCAGCATTGGCGGTTGTAAATATCAAAAAGATGAAATACTCATTACTTAAAGGAAGTTTCTCTTATGTCGGTATAGATGAATTTTTACGAGACTTAAGTTACGGACGAGGAGGTACGGCACCATTAAAGGGTGCTCATTTACCTAAGATTCTTATTACAACACCATGGGATGGCAAAAATGCTGAACTGCCACCAGCAGAAGAAATCGATCTTAGTGATATAGATCTTGACGAGAAGGATGAATTGTAATTACAATAGGCAACATTTCTAAAAAAAAATGTGCACATCACATACATATACCATTATAAGTAATTCAGTACTTGTTTTTGTATTAAATTATTATTTTAAATCGACATCATTACATCTTGATGTACAATAATAATCGAATATCATCGTCATTATAGCATTAGGAAAATTTGTCTTATTTCCAGCAAAAGCGCATCATCATTATGTTATTCATACACCAATCCTCAGGAATTTTAACAGAGATTTTCTATTGAAGTGAATTTTTACGATGTCTTATCTGTTCACTATACAGTAAAATACAGCATAATATACAGTATAAAGTTAAATTTACAT